ATCAGCTGTTTCTCAAGAGAAAGTTTTTAAAAATTTTCATCTTTATTGTATTTTTTAAATTACCATTTAGTTCCCTTATACCCCTCTCCCCCCAGCAATCATCACACTGTTGTCCATGTCCATGAGTCCTCAGGCCAGAAGGGACTGGCATGAAATATTCAGAATAATGAAAAGTAAGGACCTACAACCAAGATTATTCTACCCAGCAAAGCTATCACTTAGAATCAAAAAGACAGATAAAGAGCTTCCCTAACAAGAAAAAAAAACTAAAGGAGTTCATTACCACCAAACCAGTAGTACTAGAAACGTTAAAGGGTCTTTATCTATGTTATAGCATTATTTACAATAGGTAAGATATGAAAGCAACATATGTCCATCAATAGATGAATGGATAAAAAAGAGAAGTGCATATTGTATACAATAAAATATAACTCAGCCATAATAAAAAGTGAAATCCTGCCATCTGAAATAAATGTATAAACCTAGAACATATTGTGTTGAGTAAAATATGTAAGACAGAGAAAGACAAATACCATATGATTTCACTTATATGTAGAATCTAAAAAACAAAATAAACAAACAGGCAGACTTGAAACAGACTCATAGGTACAGAGAATATGTTGATGGCTAAGAGACGGGGGGCCTTAGAGGAGATGAATGAAAAAGGGGGGAAGATTAATATGTGTAAAACAGTCACAGGAATGTAAAGTACAGCATAGGAAATACAGTCAATAATATTGTAATAACTATGTGTGGTGTCAGATGGGTACTAGATTTATCAGGGTGATCATTTCATCAGTTATGTAAGTATCGAATCACTGGGTTGCACACCTGAAACTAATACAATATTGTATACCAACCGTAATTGAAAAATAAAAATTTTTTTTCAAAAGGGTGAAATAAGCAAGCCAAGTTTTTCTTACTGACTAGCGAAAAATATTGGTGAATTATATATCCAGGATATATAAAGAATTCTGTAAACCTGACAGTAAGAAAATGAATAATTCAATTAGAAAATGAACAAAAGACTTAAACAGATGATTAATGCTGATGGTACATAAACACATGAAAAAATATTCAGCATTGGTAATTAGGTAAATACAAAGTAAAACCACAATGAGATACCATGACACATCTATCAGAATAGTTAAAATTACAAAAAAAAATGCTGAGCCCTGGCTGGTGTAGCTCAGTGGATTAAGCGTGGACCTGTGAACCAGAGTATCATGTTTTGATTCCAAGTCAGGGCACATGCCTGGGTTGCAGGCCAGTTCCCAGCAGGGGACACTCGAAAGGCAACCATATACTGATATTTCTCTCCCTCTCTCCTTCCCATCCCCTCTAAAGATAAATAAATAAAATATATATATTTTTAAATGCTTAAGTATCGAATACTGACAAAGGTGGATCTCTCATTTATTGCTGGTGGGAATATAAAATAGTAGAGTCACTCTGGAATATTGTTTGGCACTTCTGGCCAAGATGGAGGCATTGGCAGATAGACTTTGCCTCCTTGTACAAACAAAATACAGACAAAAAAATTTAAAACAAAAAATAACCAGAACTGCCAAAAAATTGAACTGTGTAGAAATCCAATAACCAAGGAGTTGAAGAAGAAACATTCATCCAGACTAGTAGGAGGGGCAGAGACAGAAAGCCCAGGGTAGTACATAGAGGACTCTCCACAAGGCAGTGGCTGGAGGACTAGGGTCAGCAAGGTGGTAGCTGGCAGACTGGGCAGTCCCACATTTGCCTATGGATAAACTGGGAGGAACAACTAGGGAATGAGACAGACCACACAACTCAGGGTTCCAGCATGGGAAAATAAAGCCTCGACCTCTGACTGAAAAAAACCTGTGGGGGTTGAGGTGGCAGAGAAACTCCCAGACTCATAGAAGAGTTTGTTGGAGAAACTTACAGGGTCCTAGAACACACACAAAACTACCCACCCAGAAATCAGCACCAGAAGGGCTCAACTTGCTGGTAGGTAGTGGAGAAAGTGACTGAAAGCTGGCCGAGAGCTGAATAAGTACCATTGTTCCCTCTCAGACCCCTCCCTCATGTATAGCATCACAATTCAGCAACGTGGGTTGCCCTGCCCTGGTGAATACCTAAGGCTTCGCTTCTTACTACATAACAGGCCCACTGAGATGAAAAAAATATGCCCCAAATGAAAGAACAGATAAAAACTCCAAAAATAGAACCAAGCAAGGAGGAAATAGCCAACCTATCAGATGCAAAGTTCAAAACACTGCTAATCAGGATACTCACAGAATTGGTTGAATATGGTCACAAATTAGAGGAAAAAATGAAGGCTATGAAAAGTGAAATAAAGGAAAATGTACAGGGAACCAACAGTGACAGGAAGGAAACTGGGGCTCAAATCAACAGTTTGGAGCAGAAGGAAGAAATAAACACCGAACCAGAACAGAATGAAGGAACAAGAATCCAAAAAATGAGGAGAGGCTTAAGTACCTCCAGGACAACTTTAAACATTCTAACATCTGAATCATAGGGGTGCCAGAAGGAGAAGAGGAAGAGCAAGAAATTAAAAACGTATTTGAAAAAAAACAATGAAGGAGAACTTCCCCAATCTAGCAAAGGAAATAGACTTCCGAGAAGTCCAGAAAGCTCAGAGAGTCCCAAAGAAGCTGGACCTAAGGAAGCACACACCAAGGCACATCATAATACATTACCCAAGATTAAAGATAAGGAGAGAATCTTAAAAGCAGCAAGAGAAAAGGAGACAGTTACCTACAAAGGAGTTCCCATAAGACTATCAACTGATTCCTCAAAAGAAACCTTGCAGGCAAGAAGGGGCTGGAAAGAAGTATTCCAAGTCATGAAAGGCAAGGACCTACATCCAAGATTACTCTATCCAACAAAGTTATCATTTAGAATGGAAGGGCAGATCAAGTGCTTCCCAGATAAGGTCAAGTTAAAGGAGTTCATCATCACCAAGCTCTTATTATAGGAAATGTTAAAGTGATTTACCTAAAAAAGAAGATAAAAATTATGAACCAGAAAATGATAGCCAACACAACTATCAACAACTGAACCTAAAAAAACAAAAACAAACTAAGCAAACAACTAGAACAAGAACAGAACCACAGAAATGGAGATCACATGAAGGGCTATCAGTGGGGAAGAGGAGAGGGGCGGGGGATGGGGGAAAATACAGAGAATAAGAAGCATAAATTGTAGGTACAAAATATATGGGGGTGGGGATTAAGAGTAATATGGGAAATGGAGAAGCCAAATAACCTCTATGTATGACTCATGGACAAGAACTAAGGTGGGGGAATGCTGGTGGGACGAGTGGTACAGAGAGGAAAGGAATGAAGAGGAGAAAAAATAGGACAATAGTCATAGCATAATAAAATGTGTATATATATATATATATATATATATATATATATATATATATATATATACTGTGGTATTTAAAAAAATAAGTTAAACATACATTTACCACACATATGACAGTAACTGGACTTCTGGGCACATGTCTTTGAGAAATAAAAACATATGTGTGCACAAAAACCTGTACACTAATTTTCATAGTAGCTTTATTTGTAATAGGCCCACACTGGAAATAAACCAAATGTCTTACAATGGGTGAATGGTTAAATACCTGTATCATAGACTATTACTTAGTAATCCAAATAAACTATTGACACACACAACTTTTCTATCTCAAGAACATTTTGCAGAATAGAAAAAGCCAGTCTCACAAATTTACATGTATGATAATTCCATTTATATGACATTTTCAAAGTGAAAAAATATACAGAGATGGAGAACAGATTGGTAGTTGGCAGGAGTTAGGGAAGGGGGTTGCGTGTGGTCATAAAGAGGGTAGTAGGAGGGGATTACTTTGTGGTGACCAAACACTTTTGTATCTTGATTATGGTGTTAGGGGATAAAATGTCATATACCTCTGCACACAGACACATACAAACAGAAAAAAAATAAATAAAAAGAGAAAGGCATGCATGCAAAGTCTGGTGAAATCCAAGTGAGGTCTGTGGTCTCATATTGTGTCAGTGCCGGTCTTCTAGTTTTGACAACGTACGATAGTTACAACAATAGCTCTTGTTGGGGAATGCTGGTGAAGGGTAGAAAGGGTCTCTATGTGTAAGTTCTTGTGAATCTACAATTACTTCAAAATAAAAAGTTAAAAAAACAGTTACAATTTTCTTCGTTGTTTTGGGAAGATTTTTGAAAAGCAAAAGGGACTGAAATGTGTTTACTCCACCATCTTCAAAACTCATTATTGCTTACAAATATTATAGCCTATACCTTATTGAATTTTAAAATCAACAACTTTGTGGCCATATTTTCTAATCAATAAAATACTGAGTAGTAATATTTTAACTGTTTGGACTATGTTAATTTCATAAAAATTCAAGAGGTACAAATAATAATTTCATAAAAATTCAAGAGGATACAGGGTAAAGTCCATCTCTATCTATGTCTCTCCCCACAGACAACCACTGTTACAAATTTGTTCTGTGTCATTCCATAGTTTCCTGTGGATCACAATCTTTGTTACTAGTACTGTTACTGTACTACGAGGGACTTTTTGTGAAGTCATCCATCACAGGCTACAGACATGAGGAGGCGTCTCCTTTGTGGTACCCTGTGATGAATTTGACATGCTCAAATGATCCTCTCCTTTTCCATATTAACAAACATAAAAACAAGCTACACTTTTTTATTTAGTGTGGATGCAACAATATTTTGTGGTATTAAATGCACACACACACACACACACACACACACACAAGACATGAGACTGAGAGTTGACTAGCTAATTACTGTTCTGTGGTTAAACTAAAAAAAATGTTATATTAATTGTGCTTTAAATTTATGATTATATTAAAATATAATTATAGTATATAATTGTTATAAAATATTCAAGCAACACAAATGAAGCAGTAGATGGAGTAGGTTATCCATTTTTTTGTTGGCTTGTTTCTTTAAAGAGAACATCTTACCTCACTGCTGCTGATGCTTTGCAAAAGCATATTCTGTTTCTTAGTAACTGTCATATCCGTTGGAGAAGAGTATGTATCATGACCAATGTCAAGCAATGATTCAGCATGTCTTTCTGCCAAAAGAAATATAACAACATGTTTTGATAAGACTCATCTCTAGCAATTTCACAGGAAGATCTAGCTCTTGGCTTGAAAATAAGTTCCATTTGTCAAATATTTTCCTGAAATAGTGGTCTGGGATCCTGACGGAGCTTCAGGGGATAATTTCCACAGGAACAGATGTGAGAACAAAAGTCCACAGAATGAACAGGTTTTTGTTTGGTTGGTTTTTAAATTAGGCAATTGCTAAGTGAAACCCCTAACAATGGGCTGGAAATTGCACTTGCTCTATAGCTGCCAAAGGTAAAGCTACTCAGCCACTGCAAGCACACCTCCTGTCTGGCTCTGAAGCCACATTAAATTGACAGTTTGAACAACCAACAGTGAACTCCCAGTTAGCTCCTGAGGGGCACTGTTCTCATCATATTCACCCCGCTCCTGCTAGATTGACACTTCTTCAATAACCATGGGCTCTTGGATGAAAACATCTTCCTCCTCCAATGGCTGTTCCATTTATCTTGTAACTGAAACAAAATTGAACCAGTGTTCTATACTCAGACCCTCTATTTCTTCTCCACATTTTTCTTCTTTACTTTTTGCCATCTATTTTCTGCCTCTATCCTGCCACTGAAACTTCTCACATCCTTACCATATCTACTTTGTAACCTCTTTTCTACTTTGATGTTTCCATTTACTCCTCTTGCAACTCTCTCCCCATTCTCCTCCTCCCTCTCTCACTCCCCTGAGACCCTGTGTGCACACCACTCTCTAACGGTGGGTGCACCTCCTTGGCTCAATCTCCTGCACTTTCTTCACCATCATCAGTCCTTCAATGATTTTGTCCACTCTCAGGTCCTCATAGTCTTTGTGTAGAGAACTCCCAGGCTGACCCATCAACCCATCCTTTCTCAGAAGCTCTGTCCTACAGAAAGCTGTTACTTCACAGTGCCAGGGTTCCATCAATCCACTGTTTTAGAACACATTACCTTCAATATCCTCACCAAATCAGTGTTCTTCTGGTTTATTTATTGTCTTTCCATCTCCCCACCTCCCAGGGCTGAAACTTCGGAATCATGTTTGGCACAACCCTTCCTCAACTTTCATCTTTGTGTCTCCTCTATCAGCTTTACATCAAGTTCTGTGAATTCTTCTTTCACAATATCTTTTAAATGCACTACATCCAGCACCTCTCAGGCCCACTACCACACCTTGTCCAAGGTCTCTTCCTTGTTCTTATCACCACACATGGACACTTTTATACTTTCTTAACAGAGCTCCCTCCCATGAGTCTCTTTCTTTGAATCTATCCTACAGAATAAGAACAGGTTAATTTTCCTAAAATATGGGTTTCATCATTCTCTGGTTCAGAATTCTTCAGTGATTCTATTTTATTGAAAAAAATTATATCCTCAGGGGGAGGGAAGATGGCAGCGAGGTAGGAGGGAGCAGATGCCACTTCCCCCTACACATGGGAGAAAAACACGGCTGATCTACAGAGGAACAGAGCAAACAGCCAACAGTACCCCAGCATATATGAAGATAGAAGACCAAAAATTATAGCAGACATTGAAAAATTATATCCTTAGCTTTATACTTAATGGGTCCTCAATGTACCCAATTTGTTGGGAACTGCTCTGCCTGGTTTCAGGAGCTGTAACTGCCCCCCATAGACAAGGCTCAGTGAGTGACCTCCAGACTGTGAGCCACTATAAAGACAAAGCTTATCTCTGGCAGCAGCGATGCTTCTCCTTCATTCATCTCTGCCCCCAATGCTTGGTCAGTTAGTCAATGATGGGTACCACTCCTCAGAGGAGGGGCAACCTAAGCCAGACACAATCATTTGGGAGGCCCTCAAGGAAGGACTCAGGGGGGCTGCAGCAAAGAGGGGGTGATGGACCCTTGCTCCCCAGCTATTCTGACATAGCCTGAGTCCCCATTTCCATCTGGGAGAAGTGCTTCCTGGCTCTAATCCACTTAAACCTAAAAACCTATGATGGGGAAGGTGGTGTAGCCCTTTGCCAGCTAGAGCAGGTTCCAGGGTGATCGGGCATAAGAAAGAATTCCTGAAGTCTTGTGAAGCCTGCTTTGCTAAGAGTGTTTTCATTCATATGATAAGAGTCCGAGCAGAAAATGACTATGTCTCCCAAAGTTTTTGCAACTCCCTTACCTGACAGACACTGACTCAGACTAAGCCCTCAGATTTCTTTGAAATGTTATCTATTGTTTGATCCTTGCCACCTGACATTGATTGATGAGCTTTACCTGTATTCCTGTGTGTTCCAAACCTAATAAAAGCTCTTGAGGAAGGGGCTCTTGGTCCTTCTCCTGTAAGAGACTGATCACCTCTCCTCCCCAAGCAGATCACGTCTTGGTAGTTTCATTTTCATCCATGGCGGACAGGGGGCTTGCAGGCAAAGTTTCCCCACACCAGTTTCTTTATGTATCTGATGTCCTGTGTTCCTTTTCCCTGACATGAACTTTCAATTCTACTCTCCTTGTTGGCCCTAGGATAACCACACTCCCTTACAGCATGAAGCCTCTGCTTCTCAAGTTCAAATCTTACCATTTTTCAAGGACAAGACTGACTCTCACCTTCTTCGTGAAATCTATTTTAGGTATGCATTGTTTCCTGCCCAGAAGCTTCAAAGAAAAAGCCAATTAAACAATAAAGTCAATCAGGTTTCACAAAGTCACATGTTGCTCAGTGGCATTATTTTTCATTGTGCCTTTTGCTATGGCTGTGACTATGTCTTTGCTCAGACTCTCTTTCCCCACCTATATCAAACTTTCTCTCTTTTATTCTCCCTACCATATCTTATCCAGCATTCAAGAACTACCATATGTCCCTTTTCCCTTTCGGATTCACAGCAAGTTCTTTCTCATCTGACTTATGTGATAGATCCCTGACCATACTGAACACTTTCAAAAGTTTGGACCATGTCTTGGGCCTCTTCGCATTCCTCAGAGAACCTAGCCATGGGCTGTCAGACACTGCTCAGTAAATAGCTGTTGGCTAGATTTCTTCAAATGGGCCCATGAAATACATGTGAAAAAAAAGAAAGATTTCTAGTAGGGCTCTTATAGCCGGGAAAATTTGAGAGCGAAATATAAATACTTACCTGGTTTTGGCATAGAATTCATTATAATGTCCAATAACTGCTGTTTCTTTAAGCTCTTTATTTGTGATACATAATGTATTGCTGATTTTCCACTAAAATCACAGAGTTTAGGGTCTCTACAGGGAATAGAATCAACATCAAAGATTATTTAGTTAAATCTGTTGAAAAAGAAGATGAATATGAAAGGAAAATCACTGACATCAAATAAATAAAAGTAATCTTATGTAGTTTGGGGATAATGACTTCAAAATGTATGAAATACTGACAATTTTTCAAGATGGTTAAATAAAAGGGATATACTATATATCTTATTCCAACTCCCATTCTAAAAACATCCTAATATTTGCAGAAAATTTTGTACAAAAATTTTCATAACGCTTTAGTGATGTATAAATTAAAGCAAAGATAAAATCATCTTGATTAAGCATTATCTTATCATTCTAAATAGTTGACTTCAGTCTTTTTCTTTCCAATGTTTTAGCTAACTGCTTACTTTCCTGATATATCTTTTTTTTAATACTAACACCAAATCTTTTAATCATTCAAAATAGTGCAATGGCATGGAATCTCTCTTTAAAATTAAGCTTATTTCATAGGCTCTTGGTTGAGTGAAATGATCTTGTCATAAAATCTCTGTCTGCATGGTCTTTTCATTTCCCTTTGCTTTGCCCTGTGGTTGTTAAACTCAATTGGTTGATCGTAGGGCTTCTTGCAATGGCACTAATAGCCTCTCTACCCTGTACCGAGTCCTAGGATTAGACATCAGTCAGCTCAAAGAGATCCAGAGGGTAAATGACGAGAACCCTATCAACAGGTTACGGTGAGAGAAACAATAAAACTTCCTAGTCACGTTTTGAGGCAAGGAGAGAGTTGATCGTGGTCTTTGACCTAACATCTTTGAATTTGAATCTATCATTATGAGACTGGGCAGTAATATTCTATTATTGTCTTTTCTCCAACAAAGATTATGATTCAAAAGAAATAGCAGAAAATCAAGGATCAGGAAATTGCCACCACCTTGATCTACCTTGGGTCTTACTTGGATCTACCTTGGATCTACTAAGGTCTTACTTAGACCTTAGTTTACTCATCTGCCATGATTGCATTTCTCCATGTGGCATCCTTTGCTGTCCTGTATTCAGAAGCCCACTCCAGGACTGCTGAACACTATCTCCGGGGCAGTATCCAGTAAGCTCAATTTCTAACCCTCTCCTCAGCTGTTTGTCAATACTAAATTCTGAGGTATCTTCAAATTTCCATCTTCAACCTCTTATACTATCCAATACTTCTAAAATAGCTCACATTCTAGATTATACTTTTCTTTTTGAGGCTCCTTTTTCCTTTCTCTTTTCAAAATAAATCCATATGAAAGAGCTTGGGCCATCAGTTCTTATTTGGTGACAAGATATTTAGGTAACAAGCAGCATTAGGAAACTGCAATTCTAACATGAGACTGTTTGTTAACCTTCTCTGATTTTTTTAGTTAAGTGTTTACTTGCTCTCTCTGCAAAGAGCATGTTGGCATGCAGTAATTTTTAGAATAATTTCAAATCATTATTATAAACTGCTGTTGATAATGGACAATGCTTTAGTATTGTTCATTAAATAATTCTCCAGTAACATCTTGGGAGTAGGGAGCTACATACTAAAAAATTGTCTGACATTCCCAGTGACTACCAAAAGAAAAACTATTTAAACCAGTAAAACAAAGGACCAATGTAATAAGAATAATAGAGAGCAACGTCTAACATCTGTGTATCAGTTGCAACTATGAAGTCCTTTTTATGAACACGCACATGCATTTAGTATATATGATTTAAAAAATGGACATGGCTTCTGTGAAGAAGAATGGCATCCGCACACTTCCCCTGCTGTTCATACTCATACTCACGCGCCATGCTTGAGAAGCGCAGACAGGACCTCTATGGGTCTGTAGGCCGACAGCATTTCAAGGCTCTCAAACAGGTCCACATCTCTCACAGCCAGCATTAGAGCGGTCAAGCCATGTCGGTTTGGGAAATTTATGTCCAGGAATTCTTCAGATGCCTTTAAAAATGTGAAGCTTTATTTCCATTATGTTTTTCTGAATGTCTATTTACACTAATCCTTGCATTTTCATTGCTTGGCCAAAATCTTACTTTAACTTCAGTACATTCTTTTTCAGTACGTATATTGAGGAGGAGCTGATGGATTGGAAGAACACAGGCCTGAGAGGCAGATAGAACTGGGCTTCAATTTCAGCTTTTTAAGTTGGTTATTTAATCACTCTGATAGGGTTATATCAAGAACACTCTGTTCAAAGGTGATTAAATCACCCTGATGAAATAAGGGGCACCATCGGTTAAACAATGAATAATTTTCATTTGGGACACAATTATACTAAAAAATGATATTTATCTAAAGTTCAAATTCAAATGAGTGTTCTATATTTTTATTTGCAAAATCTGGCAACACTACTCACTGTCCTTCAGAGTCCTCAGCTATAAAGTGGGAATGACAGTGTTTTCCCTGCAGGGTTGTTTTGATGATTGGAGAGTAGAGTGTCTGACACATGCTCATAAATATTTGTGGGATGATTGACTGACTTACAATAATGAAGCCATTCATTTAACTGTGTTTATATAATCAAATGGTGGACATACAGATGTTTGTTGTTTTAATGTTTTTAATTATTTAAATTCTAAGTTTGGATAATTCAAAACTGAAAAGCTACTGAAAGTCCAAATTATCCAAATCGTTTATTTCATAGACCAAAGTAACTAATTTTCATCTGTTTCATTTTTTGCCATGTTAATATAGTCAATATTGCTATTCCCCAGTTTCTCCAGGGAAAAACTATAGATAATGATATTACCTCAGAGGGGTGCTGTGGGAATTAATTAGTTAACATTTTTTTCAGTCTCTGAAAAGAAACCACCTCTTATATCAATGTTTATTATTAGTTAGAACTAACATGAAAGTTTTGAGCTGAGCATAGTCTTACAACAGCACGATTTCCAGCATCTGTTGATTAACTTCTGGATTCAGTTATACATGCTAGTTTCTTAAAACCCGGCTGCCAGTCTTTAGGGGTGAAAAACGTGGTCACAAAAATAGACATTGGATTACAATTGCAGCAAATGCCATTAAAATAAATGTACTATCTTTCAAAAAAATTCTAAGCTGGAATTCATGAGGTATGGTAATTTTAGGCTATCTTTTAATACAACAAAAGCTGTAGAGTACTTTGGATGTTGTATATTTTCTTAACCTCCCGGTGACTAGAATACCATTCTCTTTTTCTTTACCTATTTGTATCTCTACCATAAGGGAATGGGAGAAACTGTTCCCTAGCAGCAATTGATTTTTTCTCAGATAGGTCATGTGACCTGACAGAATCTCTGAATGTAAATGCCAAGAGTAGACAGGAGCCACCAATAGTTAATGTCCTTCGGTATGGATATGGTTTCTCAAGTTACACTGGAAAAGAGTATCTACGGGTTGAAAATCTAAACAAGAAGATCAATACCCTAAGAAAAAAACATTTTAAAAAATGTGTCCTCTTAATTCCTTTAGTCACAACTAAATATTATGTAAAGCATAAGCTCTCTGATTCCCTTTTCAGGATAAAGATAATAACTGCAACTAGTCCAAAGGGATCTAAACAGCAATCGTACAAATGGCAAAGATGTCAAGGGAATGCTTCTGGGCAAGTTGACAGTAGCTCTCCAGGGGCATCCCAGGAGCACATCATTTCCCAAGGGTGCAGCGTGACTGGAATCCAGCTGGAGGAAGGTGGAAATAAGCTGCTGCTTTGTTCTTTTGTTATCTTGTTTTTCACTTCAGTGTCCTATTTGACCGTGTTTCTTTGTCATATTCCTGCCTGAAAATTCCTGGGACTGCTTTTTAAGAGAACTTATTCTTTTTAAAAAAGAATCATATAGTCTGTGCCCTTCTTACCACCCACCAACCCACCAAAGGCAGAAGCAAATATCAACTTGACTGACCAACAAGTGTTGAAGCTGTTCAAGATGACCTTGCCATGAACTTCGTAGAAGCTGCATTTGGGGAGTCTGGATTGCACTGGTGGCCAGGAGTTTTCTTTGGACATTACAATGAGCCACATGGACAGCGGTTTGATTGTTGTAATTGCAAAGGGTGATATCTGCTCCCTTTTCCAGAAGAAACCCAACAACCTGAAACACCACAACATTCTTATTTAGTATTTTTGGGCACCAATAATGTCATCACGGCTGAGTAGAAAACTTACTTAGAGGTGGCTTTGATTAATGACACAGGAAAGGAGAATAAGAGAGGCATAAAAATGAAGAATTGATTTGGAAGCCGGTGATAGCTATTTGTCTTTTTTAAATTTGGGAAACAAAAATCTCCATGATATGAATGGTTTGAGGGTACTCTAGTTTTTTTTTTAACTAGAAGTCTGTGAGTATTTTATGTTAAACCCACATAAAATATTCAAGTCCTATTAGTATCATCTGCAGTTTATAATACTAAACCATAAAATTCAGGTGTATAGATTATTGAATATTACAAATATTTCTAGGGAAAGAATAAACTCTATTCAGAATCGTGAAGGCATAATTTATTTAATAAATATGGACTGAGTGACTAGTATATTTGTCAAGAATTGCTCTTAGTGCTGAGACCCCAACAATAAACAAGACAGATAACCAGGTTTTAAGGCATTTGCAATCTAATGAGGAACAGAAATGGATAAAAAGGCAATTGCAACACAGTGTGATATATGCAATGATAGGGTAAATACAGGAAGCTGAGGGGGACACTTACAAGAAACCAATAGCTGCCTTACAGGGACCGGGAAGACTTCCTGGAGAAAGTGATGTCTAAGTTGAGAACTGGGGAATCAGGCTCAGTCAACTAGGCAAAGACTGCTGGGAAAGATTGTTCAGGCAAATCATATAGTGTGAACAAAGTACTGTGAATGCTATGGACAGAAAAATCCATACGTTGAAGCCCTAACCTACAATGTAATTGTATTTGTAGAGAGGGCTTCTAGGAAGTAATTAAGGTTGAATAACTTTATAAGGATAGGGCCTTGATCTGATAGGATTAGTGAAAAAGAGACATCCTCCTCCTCCTCTTCCTCCTCCCTCCTCCCCTTCTCCTTCTTCTTCTTCTTGCCCTCTCCCTCCCACTGCCAAGTGAGGACACAGACATAAGTTGGCCATCTGCAAACCAGCAGGAGAGCTCTCACTGGAGACTGAATCAACCAGAAGCTTGATCTTGGACTTTCCAGACTCCAGAAATATGAAGAAAGAAATTTCTGCTGTTTGAGACATCCAGGCTATGGTATGTTTGTTACGGGAGCCCAACTTAATACAGTGGACAAGAGGACAAATACCGCTCAAAGCTCTAGAAGAAGTTATGCATGGGCTGAAGCTCAGGATGGGGGAAGGAGGAGTAGGAAATGTGATGAAGTAAGTCATCAGCAGTTAAATTGAAAGGCCTTACCAACTCCTTTCAGGAATTAGGGTGATAATTTTCAGGGCAAGGACAAGCCAGTAAAGAATTTTAAGCAGAGAAATAACATGCTCAAATAAGTAAAATCACTCTGGCTACTGAAATAGATTGCTGTGGGGAAGAGTTGGAGTTGGGAGACCAATGAGATCCTGGAGATATGGTGACTGAATAAGGGAAGTGGCAATGTAAATGGATATCTGAGGGTATAATCCAGAAACTTTTAGGAGGCAGAGCTGATTAAATGTGGGAGCTGAGGGTGATCAAGGATAACTCCCAGGTATCTGATTCCAGTCCACTTTTATGTATATTCCCTACTGTCACAGCATACCAGGCCACCATAATCTCACACCTGAAACAATGCAACAGCCTTCTAATAGGTCTCCCATTTTTAGCTACTTTTACATGAAACTCATTACAATAGCTAGAATTGAAAAAGTCAGATAACAGTTGTGTTGGCAAGGGTGTAGAGACACTGGAACCAGTATACACTGCTATAAATGATACAGCCAGTTTGGAAAAACAGTCTGGCAGTTCCTCAAAAAATTAAACATAGAGTTATCACATGAGCCAGCAATTCCATTCCCAAGAATGTTAGGAGTAGAATGAACGAGAAATGAAAATATGACCAAGCCAAAATTCATGCAGAAATATTTATAGCAGCATTATTCATAGTAACCAAAACATGAAAACAACTCAAATATCCATCAATGGACAAATGAATTAATAAAAGGTGGTATATCCATATAATGAAATAATATTCAGCTATAAAAAGGAATGAAGTACTGAGGCATGCCACAATGTGTATGAACCTTGGAAACAGTATGTGAAAGAGACCAACCACAAAGACCACATCCTATGTGATTCCATTCATATGAAAGTCCAGAATAAGAAAATCTATAGGGACAGAAAGTGGTTGCTTAGGGCTAGGGCAGGGAGAGGAGGGAATGACAAGGAATACTGGCTGAAGGTTATCAGGTTTCCTTTTTGTTTGCTTGTTTTTGAGGTGGTAGAGGGATGAGAGGTTCTCTTGGGGGTAATGAAATGTTTTAAAAATGTGGTGATGCTTGCACACTCATGTCAATATATTAAAAACCACTGAATTCAACACTTTAAATGGGCGGATTTTATGATATGTGAATTATATCTCAATAAAGCTGTTTTTGAAAACATCTTGCATGTCTTTGTGGCCTTGCATGGCCTGGGACCTACCTTTCTTTCCAGCCTCATCTTATGCCACTCTTCCTCCTCCCTCTGCAAGCTCTAACAACCTTTCTCTACCTCACACATGCAAGTTTTTCCTAACCAAAAAGCCGTTGTAGCTGCTATTCCCTCTGCCTCAACTGCTCTTCAAATGTCATTCTTTATCATTACTTCAGTCTTAGCAAAAGTTTAACTGCACACGGAGAACTTTTCTTGACCACTAATGAGCAAAAAAAATGATTCATTCTACTGCTTATTTCAAAGCACTAATAGTAATTTGTAATGTAATTAAGTGCTGTTTGTCTTCTTGTTTATTGTGTTTTGCCTTCATTAGAATGCAAGTTGATAAGGGCAAGAAACTTTATCACATGCATAAATATTGTTATGAATGGGTAAATGATTTAAGAGAAATAAATGGTGATGCTGTTTAATGAAATAAGGAGTATTAATGCTGTCATAGGCAGGCCTAGGAGGAATGGGAAATCATCAGATGGGAAATTGCACAATGGGAAAATCATCAGATGGGAAAATCATCAGATGGGAAATTGCACTGTCAGCCTGGGGGACTGCTTGCCAACCCTACCCAGGACAAACAGATCCTCGGCTAAGATTGGGGTCTGGGGTCAGCCTATCCAGCATAGCAGGATGCAGCTTTGACTTGAGGCTGACAAGATGTATCAAAAACAATGGTCAGCAGAAATAGTACCCAGCAACCAGCTCTAGCCAATTAGACTCTGACACTCCAACCAGTTACCCTTTGCAGGTTTTTGCCTTTAAAAACCCTGCCTTAAGAACAACCAAGAGAGCCTTAATCTCCCTTGGTTGGCTCCACTTTCTCCACTTTCCCCCATGAGTCTCAACCACCCTTGGTTAGCTCCAATTTTCCTCTTTTTTTCCCACTAATAAACCCTGCCACTTTGCTCACTGCATCCATCTGGTTTCTTAAAAAAACTCCGACCTAACACTTATAACATGAATAAATATTGTATGAATGAGAAAATGATTTAAGATAAATAAATGGTGATGCTGTTTAATGAAATGAGGAATATTGATGCTGTTGTTCCTCAGAAGGATTAGATTGGGGGAGAAAATGAAGATAATTTGAACATGCTGTGTTTGAGATGTTTGTTACATATAAGTGGACAGACATAGTTGGAAACTCACAGATATGTAGGCTGAATTCCAGAATTAGGAGCCATCTCCATATTATTAAGGAAAGCCAATATTTAATAGATAAGAGGAAATACTCCATAGCTGAGGTTGGGAAGATGTTGCCAGGGAGGTAGGAGGAAAAAACAAACTGAAGCTGATGTAAGAAAGCATTTCAAGAAAAATTCGTGTCAAGGAGGCAAGATGGCGGAAGAATGAATGGAAACCACACTAACCTCCTCCCAGGACCAATCTGGAATTACAACTAAGTTGTGGAGAAATCACCTGGAACAAATAACTGAACAATAGTGAGAAAGAAGCCTTATAATTTTAGACAGAAAGAACCATCTTCAGCACAAACAGACTGGTGAGGAGTACAGTGGAAACTTGAGAAGGCTGGCTGGGTGCCCACAGGTGGTAGTGCTGGAGGGATAATTAAGCAACTGGTTGGATCCCACTGAGAAGTGTGGTCCAACACACTTCTAAAATCCAACACACAGCTAAAATCTAAGCTGTCCAGCCTAGAACACTGGAGCCCAAAGAGTACACAGATAAAAACCAGTAGCAAAAAGCAGCAGGGTTGCTCTGGGCCAGAGATGGATGGCTGGAGACAAAGAACTGTTTAAAGGGCCAAAGCACAAATTTTCATTTGAAGCCACTTACCCTGGGCTCCAGCAAAGCTGGGAACAGAGTAGGCTAGAGATGCCTGAGGAGAGACTGGGGACAGAGGCTTTGAGGAAAGAACTGAAAGAGGGATCCCATTGCTGAGTCATTGCCCATTTGGCAGTAGCCATTTGGTCAGGCAGACCACTCCCCTCTGAACAGCAGCAACCTGAAGATAGCCCCAACACCAGAAGGGATTCTGCCCCACCCTATGGGGCTTAAGCCTGGCTGCTGAGTGCAGAGTGACCAGGTACTGATGGAGACAGCCACAGACAGTAGATCTCTGGCAGTCTTGGAGCAGGCTGCCTAAGGTCGCAATGGGTCAACACCTGAAATCACCAGAGGCTGATCCAGAAAGGGAAGAAAATGGTAAGTACTAGAGTCTACTGAGACAAAATCCATTGTGGTCTTCTTCATGATTAGTGATATTTTCTTTCCTGCATAGTTTTTCGACATTCATTTCTTGTCCATCAAGTTTGTTCATATTAAGTCACTTGATTTTATACCATAGTTTATCTCTCCCCTTTTTTATAATAGTCTTAATCTCTTTACACCCTTATTAATACTGGTTCATTTGCTGTTGATAATGGGATTGTGCGGAGGAGGGAATTATTTTTGTGGATTTAAGTTTGTTCCTGGGCTTTGTGGTTTTGTTCTGGCAGTACCTACACAACAGCATGTA